TGATGTCGATACTGCTGTTGAAGCGGGAGGCACTTTGGGGGCATCACCCAGTGCAGGCACCGCTACCTTCCCCTTCTTTGCCACCTTTAGGGACTTAGAGGAGCCCTTTTTTGCGGACTTGTACTCCTTACTTGGCTTGGGCTTCTTCTTCACCGGAGTGGAAGCGGAGGATTGTGCCTTCGATGCCGGTGGTTTTGATGTTGGTTGACCGATGTCAGAGGCAGGCCTCGATGCTGGAGTCGATGTTGATGGTCTCTCGGACTCCATCGCTGAGGGAGGATGTAACGCCGACTCAAGGAGCGCCACTTTAAGGTGTGCAGATCGGTTTTTTTGTGTCTGGTTAGAAAACCTGGCACAGTGCCGGCAAGACTCAGGTCGATGAGACTCCCCCAAACAAAAAATACAAAGGGTGTGGCGGTCAGGTGAAGCCAGTTTGCTGCCACAACCCTTACAGCGGTTGAAAACCCCCCACTTCTTCTCCATAAAAAATACCAGGAGAAGGAAAAAGAAGGGGCGGGGAGCCCAAAGGCTAAACTGAGGTAAAACTGGCAACTTCCCCCTCAACATAAAAAACAATTTTTTTCAGTTTTTTTTAAAGAACAAACGAAGAAGAGTGAGAAAAATAATAAAACTGAGGAAAAAATCCAAACAGCCGTGAGGCAAAGTAGCCAAGCTACTGTATAAATTAGTCTGCTCTGGAGCCATCCTTCCTGAGCTAAGACAAAAATGTGTGAGCCAGAGGCTAAAAACCTGTGAGCTAGCTCACACTAATTCAGCTTAGAGGGAACACTGCCTGTGAGGTAGGTGGGGCTGAGAGAGCTCTTGAGAGAAGTGCTCGCGAGAGAACAGCTCTGAGAGGATCCCTGGCCACACTGGCCTGGAGAAAAATTGCTTCCTGACCCCAAAGAGGTAATCAGCATTTCCCTGGGCGTCTAAGAAACGGCCCCAAGAGCTAAGCACTGAGGCAACCCTTCCTGCCCTCCCTTTCATGATCTGCCTAAATCCATAGAATAACTGAGTCATCTTTAATGAAAAAGGAAATCTTTCATGAAACCCACAGGGGACTTGAGCTCTCTCCTCTGCCCTGGTTGCTGCCCAGTAGAAATTGCCCCGCCCCAGTGGGATCTCCTTTTCCAGGAGCATCTTTGGGAGAAGGCGTACTGCGTACATGAGGCAAACATGTGGAGAGGGCCTGAAGGTGTGGGCCCTTCTTACAGAACGGCCACCCCCTTCTGTTGGTGTTCCAGCTCTGTGGGAAAGAACCCCACAGTAGAGTTTTGCCCACATGGTCAGATCCTTTAAATGCTGGCCTAGCTGTGCAGGAGTTGCTCATAGATAAGCAGTCACAAGTTGACTAATTCCTGTACTGAGCAAGAGGGTTGGAGTAGGTGACCTCTAGGATCCCTTCTAACTCTGTGTCCAAGAAACTAGTCTCCTTTAAGAGAGTTTTTCTGCCTAAGTGTTAGCTTTCCTGACTATAGAAGTCATTACCCACCTGCTGGCTTGTTATCAGAATTGTTGCTTAGGCTGGCAGAAGTGATTAACTTGTAGCAGCTGAGAACTATCATCTAAAGTGGCTGACAGCTTGCAATTTAGAGATATATCCTGGTAACAGCTTTCTATTGGCTAAATGACTTTTCTTTCTGCACTGAGGACTTCAGCCCCCCCAGGAAAAAAAATTGCCCCACAAGCCACAAAATCCTGACTATTGGCCTGTTGTGATGTCACTTCTGGTTTTCCCAAGGCCAGCTTCGTTCATGGTGGCAACGAAAAGGCTCCTCATGAGGTTCCAGAGAGAGAGGCAAGGAGAGAAGGAAGGAATAGCATTACTCCTCCACGTTTTGTGACTTACCATAAGCCAAATGGCAGATTTTGAGATATCTGTCCAGGCTGACTGCTGTCATGGTAATGAGGCTCCCAATGCCGAAGAAGAAGCCAGTCCATCCATACCAACGGCAGCCACTCCAGCCAAAAATCCAGCGATGGGAGAAAAAGGCAATGATACTGAAGGGCTTCCCTGCCACTGCAAAGGAAAACAGAGTTGGACACACCAACACCTGCCAGTGCAGCTCACGCTCTGTTCACCGGTCACAAGCGGGGAACAGTTTTTTGGTGGATGGAGTTCCCTGTTCACGAACAGTTTGAGCCTGTTGGTTAGGTTCCTTTCTATCCATTTGAACAGTACGACACAATGCAGTGCTAGTGGCAGTGTTTGCCTCGTGCCCTGTAAGAGTACTTAGTGTGTCCCCCCCCCACAGACCTGCTGTTGATGCATACCAGTTGGCACTAGGGTTGCCAAGTCAGGGTTGGGGATTCCTGGAGATTTGGAGGTGGAGCCTGGCAGGCCTGGCAGGATTTTGTGGCTTGTGGGGCAAAACATTTTCTGATGGGGCTGCCAGTTTTTTTATGTCAGCTCCGACCTTCCCCCAAGCCCGACTGCCAGAGGCCACCCCTCTCCCTCCCCTCCCGTAAGATTTAAAGGGCCCTTCAGCTGATCGGCGGGGAGCACGTGGTCCGCCGATCAGCTGGAGGGCCTTTTAAATCTTGCAGGAGGGGAGGGAGAGGGGTACGCGCCATCCCCCGCTTCTTCTCAAAAGCATTTAAAGGTGCGCAGTCCCCCTATTCTTCTCAAAAAATCATCTTCTCGGGGGGAAAAATCTTGTGGGGCTGGCCCTTTAAGGAAGTGGGTGGAGCCCCCCATAGTGCCACTGTAGCTATGGGCCAGGATCCTGGGAAAGGCAGGGTTTCGGGAGGGGAGGGAAATCAGTCGGGTATGATGCCATGGAGTCCACCCTCAAAAGCAGCCATTTTCTCCAGGGGAAGTGATCTCTGTTTCCTGGAGATCAAATGTAATTCAGGGAGATCTCCAGACCCTAACTGGAGATTGGTAACCTTAGTTGGCACCCAGTTGTTTCAAGAAAGAGTAAGTAACTCAGCCAGTAAACGGGTTGCATGACCAGTGTTCCCTCTAAGCTGAGTTAGTGTGAGCTAGCTCACAGTTTTTTAGCCTCCGGCTCACACATTTTTGTCTCAGCTCAGGAAGGGATGGCTCCAGAGCAAACCAATTGATGCAGCAGCCAAATCGCTCGCTCACAGCTTTAATGCCGGCAGCTCACCAAGTTGAATTTTTGCTCACAAGACTCCAAAGCTTAGAGGGAACAGCTTCTCCACTGGTGAAAAGGGGAGGATGAGCCAGGAAAGTTACCTCAGGTGGTGTTTCCTTCAAAATCGTCTTTAAAAAGTAACATACCGAAACGACTCTTCTTCAAGCAAAGTACATAAAAACAGAATGCTGTGGGAAAATCTGTTCGGTCTGAGCGCGTCATCTCCATCTCAATAAACAACAAGGAACCCACAATGACGGCAGAGGGACCAAAATCTCTTTCCATATCACTGCTAACGCCATCACAGAGAACGAGGTACTTTATCTCAGATGGGTGACAGGAAAAGTGCCTCAAGCAAACAAAATCCACGAAGGCTTTACAGCCCTTCGAAATTCAGCTTTAGAACAGTCACATTTCTGTTCTAAGATTTCAGTGGGCCCTATAGACAAAAACAAAGCCTCACTTTCAAGAAAGAGTCGGACAATGTTGATCTCGTGTTCCTAACACTGAATACCACGAGGTACCAAATGCTGTCAGTGAATCATGGCTATAGGGAGGGCAAAACCCTGTGGAATGGTGAATTAGGCCAGGCCAGGCCACTCCAGAGGACTTAGTAAGGTGGAGAGAGAAGAGGTGAGTCCCTGTGAACCAAATTCTTTTTATCTTCCCTCAGAATTCCTTCTGCTCTTATTTATTTTATTTTATTTCATTACATTTCTATACCACTCCTTCCCGAAGGCTCGGAGCGATTTACACATATATTTAATCATCTAACTAGGGCCACATATATTCAGGGGAGATGTATGCCTTACCAGGCACCTTTAGTTGTCTTCTTCTTCTTCTTCTCCTTCTCCTCCTCCTCCTCCTCTTCTTAAGGGGGAAATGAAGTTCCCCAAGGGAAAAAACCCTGCTAGTGGATATTCTCACGCTAGGGCTCCCTGCTCAGTTATTGGAATCTACAGGGCATTCATAGAACTGCCAAGGCAGATTCAATCTGGGTATGGTAGTGGACAGCGCGGCTGCTGCTTCTTCTTCTTCTTCTTCTTCTTTTCTTCTTCTCTTCTTCTTCTTCTGGAACTCTTATGGGGGAAATGAAGTTCCCCAAGGAAAAAAACCCTGCTAGTGGATATTCTCACGCTAGGGCTCCCTGCTGAGTTTATGGTTTGACTTAATGGAAAAGAAGTCTCACAATTTCTTCTGAAAAAGGAATATGTTTAAGCCTCTGTGCAGGAGAGAGAGAGAGAGAGAGTTTTTTCTTTCTAAGGTGGGTCTTGCTGGAGTTACTTACTCTTTTTTGAAACAACTGGGTGCCAACTAAACTTAATCTTTTTTCTTTCTAAGGTGGGTCTTGCTGGAGTTACTTACTCTTTTTTGAAACAACTGGGTGCCAACTAAACTTAATCTTTTTTCTTTCTAAGGTGGGTCTTGCTGGAGTTACTTACTCTTTTTTGAAACAACTGGGTGCCAACTAAGCTTAATCTTTTTTCTTTCTAAGGCGGGTCTTGCTGGAACCAAGCGGTAGTGTCTTTTTTCCGGTGGAGGTCTGTTCTCTTTGGCTCAGTCCCCTGGGATGGCCCTCCGTGGCGCACGGCTGCGTGATGAGTCGCCCTGGTCTCTGTCCCGCAGGCTCCAACCATGCTTACGTCACCACGCCTCCACGCCGCCCGGACCACGCCTCCACGAGTTGCCTGCCATTTTTGCCGCCGATCTGTCGCCATGTTCTTTTTCTGCCGGCTCGCTCGTTGTTCGCCGCTGCCCTCCATTATTGGAGGTAGGATGCCCCCCCACACCTAAGGAGTGGGTACCCATTTGTCTAATCGCCACTTTAAGGGCTTTCGAGCCACTGGGTGGGCGGGAGCTAGGACGAGAGCCGGGAGCTCACTCTGGCCTCAGTGGGACTCGAACAGCTGTTAACAGCTGTTCGGAGATAGATTACTTGCAGGCATTTACTGCTCCCGTTATGTTTGAACCAGGGTGCTCCAAATTTGCATGTTCGTGACAGCTGGTTGACTAACAAGTGTTGTGTTTTGTGTGAGATCCAATTTCAGTAAATCAAGTTAAACTTTTGATTGTTTTACATTTGTACTGTTGTTCTCTCTCTCTCTCTCTCTCCTGCACAGAGGCTTAAACATATTCCTTTTTCTGAAGAAATTGTGATGCTTCTTTTCCATTAAGTCAGACCATAAACTCAGCAGGGAGCCCTAGCGTGAGAATATCCACTAGCAGGGTTTTTTTCCTTGGGGAACTTCATTTCCCCCTTAAGAGTTCCAGAAAAAGAAGAAAGAAGAAAGAAGAAGAAGAAAGAAGAAGAAGCCGCGCTGTCCACTACCATCTCCAGACTGAATTTGCCTTGGCAGTTCTATGAATGCCCTGTAGATTTCAGTAACTGAGCAGGGAGCCCTAGTGTGAGAATATCCACTAGCAGGGCTTTTTTTCTTGGGGAACTTCAGTTCTCCCTTAAGAGTTCCAGAAGAAGAAGAAGAAGCCGCGCTGTCCACTACCATCTCCAGACTGAATCTGCCTTGGCAGTTCTATTAATGCCCTGTAGATTCCAATAACTGAGCAGGGAGCCCTAGCGTGAGAATATCTCTAGCAGGATATGCCCTGTAGATTTCAATAACGTGAACAAATTTTGCAGGATAACCATTGAGGTTGCGGGCATCAAAATTCTGCTACTGGTAATTTTTGTATTGATTATTTTAAAAACAATAATTTTCAAGCGTTCGTCTAAATCAACCCACACAAAGACCAAAATGAAAACAAAACAAAGGCAGAATGTTTAATTAATACCCTAACGTCGTTTAAAAATTATTAGCATCCCCCCATTCACGCCACCCTCACTGGGGTCAGACCTGTCGCTTGCCACACCTCCCAACAGGGGCAGACCAGGAGGCAAAAAAATAAAGAGCTCTGGAAAGGGGACCTGCCTCCCAAGATGTCCCCATATCCAGCACCCCCCCAGCCCCCAAAAGGAGGAGAGAGACGGCGCAGACTTGGCATGGGCCACTTACTGGGGTGGGGGCTCTGCCAAGAGTTGCCACTCATAGCTGCAGACCCCGATGCCACAGGCAGGGAGGGCAGTGATACAGCTAGTTTTGGTGCCCACCCTCCACTTCTGGGACCCTAGGTCGTTGCCTAGGTGTGCCCGATGGACAAGCTGGCCACGAACATACGGGTTCGTTCTCCACACGCCTGACATTAGATTACCTGAGATTCCCAGGTCACACACGGCTAGATTGACAGTCACGATCTCAGCAGGCCTCAGCTTCTTTTTCCGTTGGGCAGACATATAAATGACATATCCATTGCCGAAGGTGGATAGGATCCCTGTAGGAAAAGGAGGATGAAGCCCATAGCCATAGAGTATTGAGAAGAAAACTGCCCTAGATATTCCCTAGAACTAAGATGACGTCTGCTTCCATTCCATGCACTGAACTCCTTGGGTGTGTGTAAAGTGCCCTCAAATCGCCACTGACGGCAACCCCAGCAAGGGGCTTTCAAGGCAGGTAAGAAGCAGAGCTTGGTTCGCCATGGCCTTCCTCTGCAGAGGCGTCCTTGGTGGTCTCCCTTCCAAGTATCAGCTCTGCTTAGCTTCCAAGATATGATGAGATCGGGCTATACCATGTCACCTTCACTCCATTCAACTCCTTAGAAATATTATCTTTAAAAGACAGTCCTCTTGAGAAGGAGGAGGAGGAGATCGGATTTATATCCACCCTTCACTACCCGAAGGAGTCTCAGAGCAGCTTACAATCTCCTTTCCTTCCCCTCCCCACAACAGACACCTTGTGAGGCAGGTGGGGCCGAGAGAGCTCTGAGAGAACTCTTCTTCAGAGAACAGCTCTCAAAGAACTTGTGACTGAACCAAGGTCACCCAGCTGTTTTCATATGGAGAAGTGGGGAACAAACTCGGTTTTCCAGGTTAGAGTCCGCCGCTACTACACCAAACTGGGTTTGATTACTTTATCATTGTATGTTCCTGCTTGAGCTGGTACAGACAGAGGCACATTCAAGGGGGGAAAGTCCCACCCTCCAGTATCCTAATTTTAAAAGATCAGCTACATTTTTTTCTTTGCATTATTTTGCCCTTGTGGTGGAGGAAAGTGCCGTCAAGTTGCAGCTGAATTATGGTGACCCTGTAGAGTTTTCAAGGCAAGGGATGAACAGAGGCCGTTTGCCATTGCCTGCTTCTGTGTAGCAACTCGGGATGGGCACGAACAATACTCCCTCTAAGCTGTAGAGTCTTGTGATCAAAAGTTCTACTTTGTGAGCTGCTGGCATTCAAGTTGTGAGCGAGCGATTTGGCTACTGCGTAAACTAGTTTGCTCTGGAGCCATCCCTTCCTGAGCGGAGACAAAAATGTGTGAGCCAGAGGCTAAAAAACTGTGGGCTAGCTCACACTAACTCAGCTTAGAGGGAACACTGGGCACGAACTGGGAGAATGTGGTTTGGTTCGTGGTTCATGGTGTGCCTCATTTGCAAACCACTGACTGGCATGAACTTTTAGCCACCTCACGAACCGGCTTGGTTCATGAGGTTCATGAGGTGATAGAATGGCCCCCCAGTGTCATTTTGACAGGCTCGGGTTCAGGAGCGTACAGAACGGATTCTGTGCAAGCCAGAGTCATCAAAATTGCAGGGGACCTCCCCTGGGCACTTCTCTACATGCCCTCAAAGTTGTCGCTTTGAAGTTCTATGCATATTTAGATTGAGCGGAGACAGTCTTTCTGGAAATGTATCCACTCGTGAATTGGCAGGAACCTCTACGAACAGCTTGAGAGTTTGTGGAAAGTTCATGCCAGTTGACCTGCCATGAACTTGACTTCGTGTAGCATAAACCTCCCAAAACTCTGTCACGAACTTTAGTTCGTGAGCTGGTTTGTGTCCATCCCTAGTAGCAACCTTGGACTTCCTTGGTGGTTTCCATCCAAATACTAATCAGGAATGACTTTGCTTAGTTTCCGAGATCTGATGAGATACAGCTAGCCTGGGCCATCCGGCACAGGGCGAGAGATGGACAGAGGTGGTTTGCCTTTGAAACTCTGGACTTCCTTGGTGGTCTCCCATCCAAGTACTAACCAAGGCTGACCCTGCTTTGCTTCCAAGATCTGATACAATTGGGCTAGCCCGGGCCGTTCAGGTCGGGGCATTTTGCCCTTTTTTGTTGTTGTTGTTCAGTCGCACAGTCAAGTCCAACTCTTCGCGACCCCATGGACCAGATCCCGCCAGGCCTTTCAGTCTTCCACCGTCCTCTGAAGTTGGCTCAATTTCATGTTCGTTGCATCGATGACACTGTCTAGCCATCTCATCCTTTGCCCTCCCCGTCTTCTTTGACCTTCAATCTTTCCCAGCATCAGGGTCTTTTGCCCTTAGTTGTCTATAATCATCCCTCTCTACGCTTTACATCTTTTGCCTTATGATGAACTGTCATGTCATTACAATCCGAGGCGAGCGAAGAAACTGGGATGAATCGATGCTTTAAATGGAACTGCTCTTCGCACACCTCTCGAATGTTCCATGTCAGACCCAGATGCAGATTATATTCTTTTATACTACTGGCTGTTCTTCCACCCTACTGAGACTGGGGAAGACCAGCTGGCTCTGAACCAACATTTGAAGGGAGATTGGATGGAGGGCTGGAACAGCTTGGGCTAGCAAGTAAATGACCGGGTCACAATGCCATCAGCGCCTAAGGGGAGTAAGACCCTTAATGATAATAGTTTCAATGAGTAGCTGTGTTAGTCTACAGTAGAACAGCTAAGTTAAAGTCCAGTAACACCTTAGAGAGGAGCTGCGGTGGCTCAAGTGGTTAAGACGCTGAACTGCAGGCTGTGGAAGGTCGGTAGTTCAGCAGTTCGAGACCCTGGTTGCCGCATGACCGAGTGAGCTCCCGTCTCTGGCTCCAGCTCCTGCCAACCTAGCAGTTCGAAAGCAAGAAATTGCAAGTAGATAAATAGGTACCACTTCGGTGGGAAGGTAACAGCGTTCCGTGCGCCTTGGTGTTTAGTCATGCCGGCCACATGACCACGGAAACGTCTTCAGACAGCGCTGGCTCTTCGGCTTTGAAACAGAGATGAGCACCGCAACCCTAGAGTCGGACTCGACTGGCTTTCGAGCAAGGGAACCTTTACCTTTACCAATGATGAGGGTTCTTTTTGTAGCAGGTACGCATTTACATATTAAGCGACACACCCCTAATGTAGCCAATCCTCCAAGAGCTTACAGTAACTCCTGTAAGAAGAGCTCTGTAAGCTCTTGGAGGATTGGCTACATTAGGGGTGTGTGGCCTAATATGCAAAGAAGCTCCTGCTACAAAAAAAGCCCTCATGCAAATGCTGTAAAACTGAAATCCCTATGCAGTCCCACTGGCCAAAGTCCCTCAGCGGTGTTTCCTTCTTGCGTAAACAGGCAGAAGCAACTGGGAGGAGGCTGTAAAATGTCCTTGTGGGGGGGGGAAGGGGGGATACACAAAAGAAATCCAATTTCACACTGACTTCCTCAAGCTGAGGATGCCTCCCCCCAACTCCAACTCCCTGTTAGGGAGTCACCAACATGAGTGAGGGAAGGAGGGAGGGTGACGATGACAGACCGCACTCCCGCCGGCTCGCCTCCATGGTCTTTGTTCCCTCAGGTACACTCGGGGTGCCTATTCAGGGACGCCTGCCTCAATCCTCCACATTAGCCCCCCAGCCCCACCAAAAAAACTTTTGCCCCACAAGCCACAAAATCCTGGCTACTGGACTTGAATCTAGCTACCCTTCAGGGAAGTCAAGGGGGTTAGAAGGGTGTCACTCTGCTGAGGAAAGGTGCTGCAAGTCCCTCACCTAGAAGGAGGAGGAGGAGGTGGTGGTGGTGGAGGAGGTGGAGGTGGAGATGATTAGATTTATACCCCGCCCTTCACTCGGAGTCTCAGAGCGGCTTACAAACTCCTTTCCCTTCCGCTCCCCACAACAGACACCCTGTGAGGTAGGTGGGGCTGAGAGAGCTCTGACAGAAACTGCTCATTTTCAAGAACACCTCTGACAGCACTATGGCTTGCCCAAGGTCATCCAGCAGGTGCAAGTGGAGGAGTGGGGAATCAAACATCTGCCCTAAAAAGGGGAAACTTCCAATAGATTAAATGGGATAAATAATGTGTGAATATTCAAATGCAGCAACCAAAACTGATGGCAAGCATATTTTAGGATGTGGGCTTTTCAAATGCACCTCCTAAATGCTATTTTCCTTTGTGGAACGAAATTCCATGACATGGCAGACAGGAAAACAGTTGGAGGATTCTGCATCTAGCATTCGCTCCACATTTTCTCAGCTGGGAGGGGAAAGTGCAGTTCAAAACCACATTCAAACACCCCGGGGGCAGCACCATACTGACAGGGAGGTTACATGCTCCTAATATTCACCAAAGGGAATTCTTACCTAACACCCTATGATATTTGAGAGCTTTAAAGAAGATGGTGGTTCCAATAAGTGATTTTAACGTAGCCTTAGATGCTAAACGTGATTGATCCACCACCTCTTTTAAAAACAAGGACATCCCAGAAATACACCATTCCCCAAAATTTATGAGTCAGCGCAATCTGTCTGACGAATGGAGAAATCTATACCCACAAGAAAAAGGATTACACTTATTATTTTCACATTCATAGCAGTTTTTCTTGTATTGATTATTTTCTCCCCTTGACTTCTCTGTTACATAATATTCTGCAAGCTGGAACTGGATTTAATTATGGTCCGATCGTGCACTGATTTCATGTTTGCTAGATACCAAGGAACAAGACGGATTGGGACCAGAGTGGGAATCAAACTAATTAATATTACTTGGATAAAGAAATATCTGAGACTCTTGCCACTGGCGTACAACAATACTTTAAAGAAAATCTTAGCAATGCTATGGCCCTGTTAATAGCAGATGCATTTAAAGCGGGAAGAAGAAGAAGAAGAAGAAGAAGAAGAAGAAGAAGAAGAAGAAGAAGAAGAAGAAGAAGAAGAAGAAGAAGAAGAAGAAGAAGAAGAAGAAGAACTTTAATGCCAGTCACTCACAAAGCAGAATTTTTCCTCACAAGACTCCACAGCTTAGAGGGAGCATTGGCTAGAACCACAAGATCCAACCTTATATTCATATAGGAACCAGTGTTCCCTCTAAGATGAGTTAGTCTGAGCTAGCTCACAGTTTTTTAGCCTCCAGCTCACACATTTTTTGTCTTAGCTCAGGAAGGGATGGCTCCAGAGCAAACTAATTTATGCAGTAGCTGAATCGCTTGCTCACAACTTTAATGCCAGTAGCTCACAAAGTAGAGTTTTTGCTCATAAGACTCGACAGCTTAGAGGGAACATTGATAGGAACATAAAATGTAGTTTCCTGAAAACTGGCAAAATTAGGATACTACCTACTTGGGATTTTTTTCCCCTCCTTGGCAATTAAAAAAGAAAGAAAATCCCCATTTCTTTCCCAGATAGCCTAGGTTAGCCTGACCTTGTCAGATCTCAGAAGCTAAGCAGGGTCGGCCCTGGTGAGTTCTTGGATGGGAGACCACCAGGGAAGTCTAAGGTTGCTCCGCAGAGCCAGGAAATGGCAAACCGCCTGTGAACGTCTCTTGCCTTGAAAACCCTTGGAGGCCACATTCAAATACCCCGGGGGCAGCACTATACTGACTGGGAGTATTTTTGCTGTGACTCGACAGCAACAAAAAAAATTAATAATAACTATCTTAAAAAAACCAATGGCCACTAGGCTATTATCAGCCAGCCACGTCATATTTTCCGCGTTGCATCATTTCCGCTGGATGTACCATTCTCCTGTGTAAAATAACCTAACAGAAATAGAACCATACTCTACGTTCCTTGGAAGAATCCGTGAATCTTACCGACTACCAATAAATAAAACCCGGCGACTATGTCCGCTTCTTTCGAGAGTTTTGATTTGAAAGGGTCTTCGTCCTGATGGTCGTGAAGCAGAGAGTCCTCTTGGGAGGAAGTGTTTGGATGCGACTCCATGCCGATCACGTAGAAGTCAGTGACTGAAAAGGACAATAATACTGTTATGCAATCGGCCCCTTCTCCGAGCCCAGGGAGTTTGCGGAGGCTAGAGGGCCTGGGTTTGATCTCCCTTAGATGAGACAGCGCTGGAGATTTATGGTGTTTCAGCCACCTTCCGTTTATTTACAAATATAAAAGTAGAAAGCAGGAGGTCCCCCGCTTCCCTCCTGATGAATCATACCTGCCACCGCGTTCCAAATCGGAAGACCTTATTGATTTCTACAGAATCTGGGGTAGAGTAACCCTTCCTGTTCCTGTTTTATGCACTTCATTTACATGGGTTTGCATTCAGTTTACACCAGCTCAAAATGGTTCTGCCCAGGGCCCTATCTGCCCCCGACTGTTGGTTCCTGTGGGTAGGCAAAAGGGGTGTTTGGTTCCTCCTCATCATCATCATCAATAATAATAAGAAGAAGATTTGTCAGAGATGCTTTAGGCCGGTCCTGCATTGGGCAGGGGGTTGGACTTGATGGTCCGTATGGCTCCTTCCAACTCTATGATTCTAGAAGAAGAAGAAGAAGAAGAAGAAGAAGCAGAAGAAGAAGAAGAAGAAGAAGAAGAAGAAGAAGAAGAAGAAGAAGAAGAAGAAGAAGAAGAAGAAGAAGAAGAAGAAGAAGAAGAAGAGGATGTATATCCCACCCTTCACTCGGATTCTCAGAGCGGTTTACAATCTCCTTCCCTTCCTCTCCCCACAACAGATACCCTGTGAGGTAGGTGGGGCTGAGAGAGCTCTGAGAGAACTGGTCTTGAGAGAATAGCTCTGAGAGAACTGGGACTGACCCAAGGTCACCCAGCATGCTTCATGTGGAGGAGGAGTGGGGAATCAAATCCAGTTCTCCAGATTAGGGTCTGCCAGTCTTAACCACTACGGCCAACTGGCTGGGTTAGGATACAAAGGATGTCTCATAGAAGCAGGGGTCATTTCCTGCAGGAACACACAGGAGTGGAACTCCGGCAGTAAAGAGCCCAGGGGGTGGGCACATGCAACAAGCCCTGCCCCCTGCTCCCAGCAGCCCCTGGCCACAAGGAGCAAGAAGCAGCCAGGTAAGTTGCAGAGCCTCCCCCCCCCAGCAACCCAAAACAGTCCAGGGGCACCTTTAAAGCCAAGGTTTATTCAAGTACAAGCTCTCCCTCCTCTGTGAGGGCAGATGTGCGTGTCCCCCCCTCCCCCCAATAGCTAGCAATCCAAAACAGTCCAGTGGAGCCTGAGCGGTGGGTGTTGCCTTCCGACACACTTCCGGTGATGTCAGGGGGTGTGGCATATGCAAATGAGTTATGCTAATGAGCTCCTGCGCCTCTTTTTTCTACGGAATGACCCCTGCATAGAAGGCTGGATAAGATGAGTGAAGGGACTGAGGAGAAAGGGGCTGAAGGAGCCTCTTCCAGCAGTAGGCAGGGCTCTACTGGTAGCAGGAGCTCCTTTGCATATTAGGCCACACCCCCCTAGTGTAGCCAATCCTCCAAGAGCTTACAGAGCTCTTCTTACTGGGGCTACTGTAAGCTCTTGGAGGATTGACTACACTATGGGGTGTGGCCTAATATGCAAAGGAGCTCCTGCTACCAGTAGCCAAATAGATGCAAGGGTGGTGCTGCAATGACCAGGAGGCAACCTGGCACCCCTGGCTGGTCCATTGAACTTAGCACTGCCTGCCCTCACTGGCAGCAGTGTCCAAGGATCTCAGGGAGAATTTGTGTCAGGGACCTCCTGCAGGTGTTCTGCCTCTCCAGTGCTCAGAAAGAATGCCAGATGTGCTGAACTGAGCTCGCTCATGCCCAGAAAAGGGGTACTTTAACTAACCTAACACAAATATGTGGTGATGGTGTTTTTGTTTGTTTGTTTGTCCCCATTGGGGATGTGGAAAGGAGGAGGAGGAGGAGGAGATTGGATTTATGCCCCACCCTTCACTACCCAAAGGAGTCTCAGAGCAGCTTATTATCTCCTTTCCCTTCCCCTCCCCAAAAAAAGACACTGTGAGGTAGATGGGGCTGAGAGAGCTCTCTCAATAACTGCCCTTGAGAGAACAGCTCTGAAAGAACTTGTGACTGACCCAAGGTCACACCAGCAGCTGCATGTGGAGGAGTGGGGAATCAAACCCGGTTCTCCCAGATTAGAGTCCGCGCACTCTTAACCATGACATCAAACTGGCTCTCTGAATGGTATGGTATTGCACAATCTCGTCAGATCTCGGAAGCTAAGCAGGCTCAGTACTTCGATGGGAGACCACCAAGGAAGGCTCTGCAGAGGAAGGCAATGCAAACTACCTCTGCTTGCTTCTTGCCTTGAAAAACCCTTGCTGGGGTTGCCGTAAATCAGCTGGGACTAGATGGCGCATACGTACATATCAGCCATTGACCAGCAAGAGGTTAGTTGCGTGGTAACCCTAGAAGTCTGGGGACTCTAATAACCCCGTGGCTTTATTTATCTAGTAGCCCTTCCTGCAAGAACCTTGGAGTGGACTAAACAAGTCTCCGTCCTTCCTTTCTTCCTCGTGACAGTCCTGTGAAGTAGTTGATGCTCAGAGATTGTCACTGGCCAAGGACACCCAGCAAGCGTCACAACAGAACACAGGCTTCAACCAGGCCCGTGGCCATGGGGGGCATTTGGGGGTAATGCCCCCCACAGATAAGTGCTGCCCCCTTGGACAAAAATTTTTTGAAAAAATTAAAGAGGAGCAGCAGGTGCAGCCGGGGCAAACCCTCCCCCCCGGATTTCCCCATGCCACATCAACAAAAATTTTCCAGCTACGCCCCTGTCTTCAACAAGAGCCGGCCAGATCCCAGCCCAACACCCTAACCACTACACCACACTGCCTCTAATCTCCAGTAAACAATTTGAACCCTGGCTCCTCCTCTTAATCAGAAGAAAAGTGGCATATAAATGTTGTAAAATAAGCAAATAAATAGACGTACCCTGTAGGTTGTTGTTGTTTTTTACAAGGACTGTTACGTCAGAGGGGTAATAGGATTTGGGGGGGGGGATGCTCACCCCCTTGACATGCTGCATTTAAGCCTCATTTTCCCAGGAGAGTTGAAAGAAGATCTTAAGGGCTGTTTTGGCTTCAGTTATAGGGTGCCTGAAGCACAGATGGAGGACACTTGGTCGACACTGTGAAGGCGCTCAACTGAAATGTCATGGCCGCAGATGCTGCTATTCATTTTCTTTTCATAATCTTGTCTAAGAGAAGGTTTTTACACCCGCTTTTATCTACCTTAAGGAGTCTCAAAGCGGCTTACAATCCCCTTCCCTTCCTCTCCCCACAACAGGCAGCCTGTGGTCCTTTCCGCACTAGACCTTAAATCCTGGTTCGACCCTGTCCCTGAACTTACATTCTACACTACACGCGAGTTCACCCCGTAATTATCTTGAGGTATTTTTACATTCTACACTACACGCAAGTTCACCCCTGTAATTATCTTGAGGTATTTTTACATTCTACACTACACGCGAGTTCACCCCTGTAATTATCTTGAGGTATTTTTACATTCTACACTACACGCAAGTTCACCCCTGTAATTATCTCGAGGTATTTTTACATTCTACACTACACGCGAGTTCACCCCTGTAATTATCTTGAGGTATTTTTACATTCTACACTACACGCGAGTTCACCCCTGTAATTATCTTGAGGTATTTTTACATTCTACACTACACGCGAGTTCACCCCTGTAATTATCTTGAGGTATTTTTACATTCTACACTACACGCGAGTTCACCCCTGTAATTATCTTGAGGTATTTTTACATTCTACACTACACGCAAGTTCACCCCTGTAATTATCTTGAGGTATTTTTACATTCTACACTACACGCAAGTTCACCCTTGTAATTATCTTGAGGTATTTTTACATTCTACACTACACGCAAGTTCACCCCTGTAATTATGTCGGGATATTTTTTGTTTCCACGTTACATGGAGGTCACCCCGGTTTCTCCCCACACTTGTCCTGGGATAGACGGATGCTGTTACAACCAGGGATAAATGCAAGGTATTGTGTCCCGAGTTGAATTCTAATAAAACCAGGGATGAGATCCAAGTGCGGAAAAGACCTGCGAGGCAGTTGGGGCTGAGAGAGTTCTGAGAGAAATTGTGACTGGCAGTGTTCCCACTAAGCTGAGTTAGTGTGAGCTAGCTCACAGTTTTTTAGCCTCCGGCTCACACATTTTTGTCTGAGCTCAGGAAGGATGGCTCCGGAGCAAACTAATTTATGCAGTAGCCAAATCGCCTGCTCACAACTTTAATGCCAGTAGCTCACAAAGTAGAATTTTTGCTCATAGGACTCCACAGCTTAGAGGGAACATTGGTGACTGGCCCAGGGTCACCCAGCAGGCTTGCTGTGGAGGAGGAGTGGGGAATCAAACCCGGTTCTCCAGATTCAAGTCCACCATTCTTTACACCACACTGGCACTGAAGAAAAACTTTTGCTTTTCTCTACCATAAGGAGTCTCAGACCGGCTTGCAGTCACCTTCCCTTCCTCTCCCCACAGCAGGCACCTTGCGAGGCAGGGGGGGGCTGAGAGAGTTCTGAGAGGACTGTGACTGGCCCAAGGTCACCCAGCTGGTTTCATGTGGAGGAGGAGTGGGGAATCAAACCCGGTTCTCCAAATCAGAGACTGCCGCTCTTAACCACCACACCACAGCTGGCTCTCTATAAAGGTGCATAAGGTAAGGACCTACCTCTTGCATCAGACAAAGTGGGCTCCATCCATCAAAATCTGTCCTGGAATAAAATTTTGTTAGTGTTTAAGGAGCCACTGGAGTCCTGCATATGATGTTTCTCTTTGAAACCCATTCCCATCTTTGGGTGATATACGGACAGAGCTCTGAGAAAAGAACCTTAGAGTCCTCTGAACGATAAATTGTTAAGGAAACACAGGCTGCAATCCATGTTCCCTCTAAGCTGTGGAGTCTTGTGAGCGATAATTCTATCTTGTGAGCAAGGGAGCAAGGGAGTTTGGTG